TTCTTGGAAGATCTGACGTTTTATTAGATTATTAAAGAAAGAAGACGATTCGTTGTACCATTCTCGACTCTTAATCCTTGTCTGAATTCAGTTCCCCCCCCCCCCTATTGCGCGAAGCGCGGAAGCTTTGACGTTTCATTAAATATTAGAGAAAGAAGACGATTCGTTGTACCGTTCTCGACTCTTAATCCATTTCCTTCCTACGTCCTCTTCCTTTCTTCTTTCTCTCTTTTTTTGGGTGGGGGGGGGGGCGATCGCCCCCACCGCCTCCACCGCCCATCTGGCTATATGCGCCTGACTTACGGCTCTCTTTCTCTTCACCATTTGTCCACCTCGTATTATATTGACATCATTCTATCACCTTCTTTCCTTTCCCTTATATATATATATACTCAAACAGAATTTTTTTATTTTTAAAGGTAAAGACCAGTATTGGAAACGCCCCAATTTCCAAAAATGAAATGGAAGCTCTCATTACCAATTATGTGAAAGAATATGTTTTGACTAATACATGATGATACAAAATTTGCCGGGAAACCGCCTACTAATTCATATATTTGGTAAATTTGTTTCTCTCATGGTCTGTGAGAGATATAGGGTAGTCCCATATACATCTTTCTGTGTATAGTGCTTGTAACTTTACGAAGAATGGGCCAAATTTCTTATCATTTAGATGATTCCAGAACCTTGCAGATGCTAGATACTGATGATCAACCTTTTCTGATCGATTCCACAACGTTCCTTTTAACAATGCAATCGCTTGACCATAACTGGTCTTTACCTTTAACATTGCATTGACTGTTTCGGTTTATCCTCTACTCTACCCTCCCCCTCTCTCTCTCTCTCTCTCTCTCTCTCTCTCTCCTATCTCTCTTTCTCTCCTTCTCTCTCCCTCTGTACCTTTATCTCTCATTCAATATTTCTTTGATATCACGTGCATATGTTTACTGATGCTATGTCTTTTTTATACTATTTTTAAAATTTCTTATGTACATTCTAATACTATTGTTATAATCAATTTGTATATGTCGAATAATTCTAGTTGTAAACCTACCCTTTCAGCCGATATACAAATAAATTAATGAATAAATCAACAACAAAAAATATCATCATCATTACTATTATTACTTTCAGCTACTACAGCTCAATTCTTTAATGTAACAGTCTCTTTCTTTGACTCTTTAATACAAATAATTATTTTTCTGAAATATGAAACAGTAAATAAACTACTCACGTTCTGTTTAAATTAGGATGCCTTTACAGGATGACGACAATCTCTGCCTTTAGTTTGAACGAACGACGAGTTGTTTCGATGCAATAAATAAATGATTGAGAAATTATGAACTATAAACTAGGCCTACTAGTTAACAATTCTAACGATAAAGTCCGTAATGGCGGTTCGTGTAGAAGAATCCCTGCCTAGCATGACGCATGACGTTGCTTGCGGCTCAAGTTGATGTCAACTGGGAGAATGATGAGACTATTTATTTAAACATGAGTCTCCTGCAAGAAATCCAGTCTTTTGACACTATTTAAGCCACCTCTTTACTGTCCAGATTCGCTTGCATTTGAATCATCTAATGTGCTCAATTAGCCTGCTTGATATAAGAATAAACTCGAAAAGTTCTCGAAATTCGGTACCAATTAGTTTCAAACAGATCAGTTTATAGCAGTCCACAGGAAAGAAATAACATGCGGCTTCAGGAAGTACAACCAAACGGGATCAAGTCAATATTTTTGTGAAGGGTTTCATTTTTGCACGTGATGGTGATGTCATAAATCTCGTAACCCAGTCAGTATGTGTGCGTGTGTGTTGACATGCAGCCCTGTATAGGAAAATCACGGGACTTTGGTAGATATCATTTGAGTCCCCTGGATCTTCAAACAATTTTTTACGTGGGCGGGCCGGGGGGGGGGGGGCACTGGCCTACAAACCTAGAATCCCTCTCCACTCTAACTTACTTCTTAATAAGTTAGAGTCAATAAGAATATAGAAAGAGAGAAGGAAAATGATCGGCAATCTGATACTGGCAATCTCTTGACAAATTTGTTTTTTCCTTATTTTCACCTTTGCATGACAAAGTAAAGCCATTAGGATTTCCAAAAGGTCGTCAGGGCCCATCATTTTATGTTGCCAACACTCATGAAAAATAAAGAATGATATGAGTAATAAATGAGATTACAAATATATAAATGTAGGTTCATTTTAATTAGTTCCTTGCAGTATCCTTCTTGAAGTGCAGTGTATGTTATTTTCGAAATTTAGAGTTAGTATATTAAAGAAAATCTTTAGTTTGATGTATGCAAATTGAAAAACAAATGTCAATAGAGTTAGTGTCTCTGAAAAGTGGATAAAGCGAGATCTTAGTTGAATATCAAGCATGTTTGTATTAAGATCAAGACTTAAACATGGAATGCGAGAAAAGCCAAGATCGTGTCATATCTTAACAAAGAGAATATACCATAATTTTTATTAGTAAATAAGTCTTCTCTTGAGGCTCAATTGATATTATAGCCTTTCCTTTTCAAATGCAAACAATCAGGGGCGTAAATCCGTACCGAGGAGTGGGGGGATGATCGGCGATAGCCATCATGCACATACTACACGCCAGGCGCGTACGCAGGATTTTAACATTTATAAATCGGGCCGAAAATTTCGCAACGACTCAGACGACCGCTGAATAAGCGGGGGGGGGGGGGGGGGGGGGGGGGGGTAAGAGGACACTTTTTTTGTTTGTACAGGCCATCCCCCCTACTTCAAGCCAGGGGGGGGGATGCAGCCCCCCATCCCCCCCCCCCGGGATTTACGCCCCTGCAAACAATCAATGCGAATAAATCATCAATCTTTTTCGAACAACGCGGTTAATAAGAGCTTTTGACCCGGCCACATTCATTGCTTGGTACAAAAGGATTTTGACAATACTTTTTTGCTTGGTATAAAAGGATTTTGACAATACTTTTTTGCTTGGTATAAAAGGATTTTGACAATACTTTTTAAAAGGCTCCTGCTCACTCATCCGTGGATGACTAAGACATGAAAAAGATATCATTAGACACAATATCGAATACTCTTTAAAGTGAAATATCATTCAAGTTCACAAGGGTTATAATAACCTTTATCTGGGATATACCAAAGTTTTGGTTGACACACACTACAATATAGCCAATGTGTTGCGATACATCAATGTATGTACGCATAATTATTTTCCTGATTTATTTTTCTTCCTAAAGATACCATAGATCCTGTTCATTTTTTTCTTCGGTTGTCTGCTTCTGCTTGCGGAACCACCTCGACCATCTCGACTGATTATTTAACAATTAAAAAACTAGACCGAGTCAAAATGACTGATTAATGAGTGAATGCCGAAAATACAATCAACAACAACAACGTTTGCTTGTGTTGTGAGCTGAAGTTAGCTAGCTCCAGCTCTACATCATACTACTAACCGGCTGCTCCACCACGGCCACGCCGCACCGATACGATCCACAGGTGCGGTAAGCTTACGCCGCGCCTTCGGCATCGGCGTCGGAGCTCCCTGGAGTTAGGTTGTAGGCTGAAGCTCGCCACTGCTGCATCGCGCAGAACGGGTACAACTCCACTAGTAATAAATTCAACGCTATCCCTAGTAGGCCTATACTATAGCACTATATTATGGAAGGAGCAGGAGAAGTGGAGAGGGTGACATTCCTGACAGATATAACGGAAATAGAGCGTCTATCTAAGCGATTGAAAGAAGGATGGGAAGTCAGATCACACACGGTTTGTAGACTAGAATAGATCTACGTACCATAGACGTAATTCTATACTTGGTAAAGACAAAGCCTAGAGGGAGTAGAGAGTCTAGCCCTTCTGGCATCTCTATCTAGATGATGATGACGAAGACGATGATGATGATGTTTATGCTAATGACTAATGTCGATGAGTGATGATGATGAATTGATGATTTATGATTGGGTTTTGATTAAACTTTAATGATCCTGATGATGGTGAAAATGTTTGATAATTATGCTAATAAACTTTTTGAAGTAGACCTATGTTTCAGAAATGTGCTACGATCTCTAGATCTAGACCTCTATACTCTAGTCTAGACTCTAGCCCTGTATCTTTTGTTATAATATAAAAATGGAAAAAAAAATGAATGTTTAACAATAACGTGTAGCACTGTGCTACACTACACTGCTAGTCTCTCTCTAAGACTCTATTTGTTTTATCTGGTGGACTCGAAAGACAAACTCAATGACTGTACAATGCATTTCATTTTCATGTAGGTTGGCACAGATGCTGTCCCTTATCTGATAAAAAGGAACGTCATGCGCCACCTGCCGATATCACTTGAAGCTGCGGATGGAGATTCTCATGGAAGTGGATCAGATGGATCCATATTGTGCAATGTCAGAGATTCAAGACATGGTGCGTACCAGCTGGAGGAACTCGAAGTTCCTATGGTGGGTTTTGATTCGTTTGAATTTTATAGTTTTATTTTACTTTTGAGAAAGCTAAGAAAGCATGTAATTTATTAAGGATCGGTAAGCAAAATGGTGAATTCAACCTTTGTAATAAGTTCATTTGTATGAAAGCAGAAAACTAAGAGAAACAGAATGGCGAAAGTATGGAAGAGTCCAAACAATAATAAGAATTATGAATATTTAAAATCTAATGTCTTTTAATCTATGCAAATCTCATATTTGCAATTTAGTCGGTGGATTATGGTGCTTTCATGGACAACTCTCCCATTTGACTTGTTGTGTACAAAAATATAATTAATTCCTGTTTTTCTCCTATCTTCTCACTTGATAAGGGAAAGGTTTCATGCTCGTGAAAATGTTTGGTTATACAGTATACCTTTACCCATTCAAACTACTTTTGGGGGATGATTTTGTTTTTTTCATGATGATTGGTACAATGTCCTTATAAGATGGAGAATAAATGTTTTGAAGAAGATGGAGGATTCCCTTCTCAGTGCACAATTATGTATGTTATGTCATTAATTTTTTAAAAATTGCAGACAGGAGCACCATCAGTTGAAGGGCACCGCATTGAGAGTTGCCAATTTGAGTATCACATCATTCACAGTGCAAGCTACAATGTTCCTGTTCTCTACTTTACAGCATGCAAATCAGGTTTGTATTTTGTTATTTGTTCCTTCATCACATTCACAAATCCCTAGAGCAATAGTTGTGAGAATTTATCCTCACAATGCTTTCCATCAATAGGGCAAATGTTTGTCTTCAGATTCAGGGTAGTGAAAAACTTTTTCATTCCCCAGAATGGTTAAACAAGGACATTTTATTATTATCATTATTACTATTATTATTACTTTTATTATCATAATTATTATTATCATTACTTATTATTATTTCCTGTATTAATTTTACTGATCCAAATGGTTACTAGTAGTTTATTTTACATTTAGCTTTCCACTCTGTTATGCTTCGGACACTCCTGACCTACATTCATCTCTTGGCTTCTATTGTTCTGTCCCTGTTCAGTTATCCTCATTCAGCATTACCTGCCATTGTACCACACACACGCACTCTTTCTATCTCTTGTTTATTCAACCCAACCCAGTCAACAGATGCCACTCTATCTTTCCTTAGGCTTTCTATTGGTTACTTACTTCATGTACAATATTTTGATTGGTTGTTATTGTAGACTCCATGTCAGCCATTTGAAAGATGTAGAAAAATATAGCAGTGCAGCTCAAGTCGACAATCATGTCAGACTAGTTTTGCCTTGTGTGAGTCTTACATTATTATTATTATGAACTTTAATGATTACTAAATTTTAATTTAACGCACCTCTTTGTGCAGATGGAAAGCTGCTTACCTTGGAGGAGGTGTGGAGCCAGGTACCAGGGTCTTATCAGGAGAGGTTGAGGCATCAGAGATGGACATTCATCACACAGCAGGTAACTTGTACATGTTGTTCAGTTAAAGGGGAAGGTCACCCTGATATTAAACTTAAAGGTATTGATTAACAATGTTTCCAGTTTTACAAATCTGAGATGCATGGCTTAACATGTTATCAGTGTCTGTGATATGGTGAAATATTGAAGCCCTGAAAAAGTGATGCTTCAAAATAATCATGAAGTGCCTCAAGAAAGTAAAAATATTTGAGTGACCGGTTCTACCATACTCATTTTCCCCAATAGACTGTAGAAAGCTTGGTCTAGGGGGCCCAGCACAAGTTCTACAGTGTGGTCCCATGCATTGAGATTCTTGCTGGACTTAGGAACAACTACAGTGTGGTCCCATGCATTGAGATTCTTGCTGGACTTAGGAACAACTACACACGCATCAACCCAGTCTTCTAGTCAACTTTTCCTTATCACTCATCATGATCTATGGATATTTTATTACAAGCATCTAGATTTCTTAACCATCCAAGATAAAGTAAGACCAATCCAGTTATTTTATTTCCAGTTATTTTCCAGTTATTATTTTTGCTGGACTTTGTCTTTGTCTTTGTAAAAGCTACACTCACAAATTCAATTCAATTCAAGTGAATTGTTATCCTGTTTTATAGTCTCTAGCATTTTATCGAAATTTGCACCAATCCATAGTCCATCAAAATCGAGCTGTTTGTCTCTGAAACCTAGCTTCCTACAACATCATGCAGGAACATCACCTCTTCATCAGCTTACTTGTCCTTATGTCTTCTATGCACGTGCTTGTGAAGACATACGTCATTGAAGAAAGTGCTACACGATTTCCAGATCAGCAGGAACATCTTTTGATATTGCCTAACTTCAGCTCTCGTGATTTTAGTCGTGCAGGTGTACGCAGCCTCTGCCTTTTTCTCAGATTCCAGCAGAAGCGCAGTAACTCTTCATGTGTCCTCAACATTCGTTCCACCAGCCACCTGGCCATCTTACTACTTCTCAGTGGGCAAGTTGAGCCCAACCCAGGTCCGGACACTCCTCCTACATGCGCTATCTGCAAGTCGGATGTCTCTGTCAATGACAAAGCAATATTGTGTGACAATTGTGATGCCTGGTGTCACATCTCATGTGTAGGCATCTCGGCTTCTTCGTACAGTGTTCTCACCCGTCTTAGCAGTTTTTCGTGGATATGCTGTAAGTGTAACAGCATCAATGCAGAATTATCATCTTCCCTTCTGGATGCTGACTTCACTAGTCCTAACCGCTACTCAGCTCTCCATGACGATGCAAGCGAGGTTAATGTTACAAGTGGTCCTCCAAAGCTGATCTTCAGAAACTCCGCAAGGCTGTTACGAAATTCTCAATGGATTTTCTATCATCTTCACCAGAGCTGAAGTCAGTTGATGAAAACTGGACCTGTATCACATCACTCATCAACAAGTGCAAGGATGAATTCATCCCATCCAAGATGTCAAGAGCCAGACGCAACTTGCCTTGGATCACCATTTCCCTCAAAAGGCAAATGAGGAAGCGGGATCGTTTGTTCAAGAGGGCACGAAGTCAGCCTAGTGCATCCAATTGGAAGGCCTACAGGCAGCTTCGAAACGAACTGACCAAACGTGTCCGCCAAGCTCATCACAATTACGTCTGCAACATAATAGGTGAGAGCCTATATGCGAACCCCAAGGCTTTCTGGTCATATGTAAAACAGCGTCGATCTGAAAACTTTGGTATACCACCCTTGAGAAATGATAACAAGCTCCATATCACAAACAAGGACAAGGCTGAATGTTTGAATAATTACTTTCATTCTACCTTCACCAAGAGCAACGTGGATCAAGTTTGCATAAACCGGCCCTCCCTATACAATGACATAGGGCATCTCCACATCCACCGGTCTGGTGTAGTTAAGCAACTGCATCAACTGAATCCATCCAAAGCCAGTGGACCAGATGAGATACATCCAAGACTTCTGAAGATGCTAGCACACGAGATAGCCCCTGCATTGTCATTTCTGTTTCAACAGAGTTACAATACCGGAGAAGTGCCTTTGGACTGGAAACGTGCACTTGTAGCCCCTATTCATAAGGCAGGAGATAAATGTTGCCCAGGTAACTACAGACCTATATCGCTGACGTGTATCTGCAGTAAGGTGATGGAACATATTATGCTTAGCCACATTTCTAAACATCTTGCAGCTAACAACATACTCATTGATGAACAGCATGGTTTCAGACAGAATCTTTCGACAACAACACAACTTGTCACAGCTACCGATGATTGGTCATCCTCTCTTCAATCTAGAGGCCAAACTGATATCGTCTTTCTCGACTTCCAAAAAGCGTTTGATCGCGTACCACATCCACACCTTAGATCCAAACTACATTACTACGGAATCAGGGGAGACTCTCTCCGCTGGACTATGTCACTCCTAGCGAATAGACATCAAGCTGTCGTCGTCAATGGTGCTCGCTCAGCATGGATGCCTGTTACTTCAGGAGTACCGCAGGGTTCTGTCATCGGCCCCGTACTTTTCCTGCTGTACATCAATGACATCAAACTCAACATCAAGTCCACAATGCGTCTATTTGCAGATGACAGTGTCATCTACCGGCGTATCGACTCTCCCTCAGACACTCATATACTGCAAGAAGATCTCCATGTTCTTGCAGACTGGTCTACTAAATGGCTGATGGGATTCAACATCAAGAAGTGTGCTTCATTGTCAATCACAAACAAGAAGCACCCCATCACAGTGGACTACACCCTACTAAATGAGTCAATTCCTCGAGTAAAACAATACAAGTATCTTGGTGTCACGATTACCCATGACCTTAAATGGAACACCCAATGTAAACTCACCACCCAGAAAGCCAATAGAACCCTTGGCCTCCTACGCAGAACTCTATCACCGTGCACCAAGAACATCAAATCCAAAGCCTACACAATGCTTGTTCGTCCCCAACTTGAGTATGGCAGTGAAGCTTGGAACCCTCGGATTCTGACATCAATACAAAGTCTTGAGAAAGTACAGCGAGCTGCCGCCCGTTTTGTATACCAAGACTACCGGAGAGTAACATCAGTCACAGCACTTGTCAACAAACTGGGATGGGATACCCTTCACAATCGCAGGCTTCTTGCACAGTCCACTTTGTTTTACAAGATGCACCATCATCAACTCAACATGCCTCTTCCCACTCACATTATCCCAGCTACATATCTGGGCAGAAATGATCACCCTCTGAAGTATGCAGTACCCCCAGCTTCCATTGATAGCTTCAAGTACTCCTTCTATCCTCGCACCATCTGGACGTGGAACCACCTATCAGCTGCTGCGGTAATATCTCCAACAGTGACCATCTTCCAGGAGGCTGCTCTACCCATCATCAGAGCGTTGCCTCCTCCTGTCTTGGTTTTTACTTGCACGTCCACCGTTTTATTGTAAATAATAGACATCATTCACTGTTTTGAATTACTTCATGCACTGTCACTATGCCAGCACGTTGCACGGACATCCCAGTTTAGCTGTATGATAGCTGCCATCGGGATTATCTCTACAAGTAACAAGTAACAAGTAACAATAATAAAAAACGTTGAGGAAAATGGTGTTTGACATTTCAATTTCCAATCATAAATATCTTAATAATCAGACAGACGATCGGCTTGTACAAGTCATATGGGATTCCTGACTGACCTAAAGGCTTATAATTATAATTGCAGCAGATTTTGTGTAGAATCTGAGACAAAGTTACCGGATTTCGTACAAGGGGAGGGGGGGGGGGGGTGGTTAGATCTGTGGGTATCCATAGACACTCCTAGCATCTCAAGTCAAATAAACAGTTATACAATAGCATTTGTTTTCTTTCAACAGGAGCATCCTCTACTCGGGAGGCCCTTCTTTCAGCTCCACCCATGCCGAACAGCAGATCTGATGAAGTCTGTTGCACCAATCAGTAAAGGGTGAGTGTAATGTACTGGGGGTGTTTCACAAAACTTGTCGTCAGTGACAAATGACAGTTGTTGTAATAAGCTACCAAAATCTTTACTTCTGATTGGTTATCAGCAGATTTGTCACTGATATTTGTCATTTGTCAATGAAAAAAAGCTTTGTGAAACGGGTCCCTGGAAGGCTCCGTTTGACATTTCAGCATAGAAACAATCATCGTCTCGGTGGAATTGGAACCACAAAAACAAAATCAGTAAGAAATTCATGTAAAATTATCAACACTTTATGAGGGTAAAACTCATTGTCCAAGAACTATAGGAATTGTTATAATTTATTGACCTAAAACTATAGATATTTTAATGGGATGAGTAATTGCGTCCTCTTTTTAAAGGGATTTTTATGCCTCTGCCCACTGAAGGTGATGTCAGAGGCATTATGTTTTGGGGTTTTCTGTCTGTCCATCCTGCTTTCTCATTATTGTGATATCTCAAGAACTAATAGTATGTATAGGAAGACACACCGATTAGATCTTGGAGTTAGTAAGTCAAAGGTCATAGATGTCACTTTTCTTCGCAACGTCTCAAGAACGATTTAAAACTTGAACTGCAAAGTTAGTATTAGTATGCTTATTATAGTGAGACAAACTGAGTAGATTTTGGGTTGAGTGGGTCAAAGGTCAGCAAGTTAATACACATGAGATTATAGGCTTTTGTGTTGCCTGCATAGCAAAAAGCGAGACATGGGCGGCGACTTTTCTTCTTTAAACTATAACCAGTTAAATAAGCAACCCCTATTAACCATTTACATTTCAAGAAAAAGATATTAAATGAAATATAAAAATTCATGTTAGCTGTGAAGAAACCTTACAAGTGTGCTAGTAATACTCAGGAAATGAACAAGATTTAACAATATGAAATGCCTTGACAGAAAAGCTCAAAAGGTTTGTGTTCTTTACAGTATTCACAGCTTTTGGTAATTTATAGTATGATACAATTAGAAGAAAAGGTCTTACTTTGTGTTACAAAATAACTGAAGAATTTCATTTAAAAAATAGAGGTTATTCTTAAACTTATTTGTTACTTCAGGAACTATGTGATGACGTGGCTGAGTTCCGTTGGGCCTGTGGTGGGTCTAGAATTACCTCTGGCTTTCGCCAATCTCTGCCAAGCAAGGTGAGACAGCCTGCAGCTTTATACACGTAAACCATCGACAGCGAACACGTGGACCAACTTCAGGACCAACTGTGGCTCTAAGGTAGGTTTTCCATGGTTCAGTTGTGGACCATCTACTGCTGAAATGAACAAAGTTCCGACCTGGTTCAGCTAAAATTTGAACCAACAGGAACTGAAAGATGGATCATCTACATTTTGAATATGGAATACCTACAGCTCCAGTGAAGACTGTGTTTAGGGCCATCTTTAGCTGAATTGTGGACCATCTTCAGGACCATCTGAAGTTGAAGTGTGAACTATTTGCAGCTCAAACCTAGACCATCTTCAATACCATCTTTAGCTGAAATCTGGACCATCTTTCAGCTCAGATGTAGACTTCAGGACTATCTTTAGTTTATTGTGTGGACCTAGCTTCTACAGCTCAAAGATGGGATGACCTACAACTTAAATATGGACTTCCTACACAGCTTAAATGTCTTAAGGTGACTTGTAGACCATAGTCAGGACTATCCACTCCTCAAATGCAGACCATCTTTTGGACTATCAACATTTCAAATATAGACACTCTTCTGGGCCTTCTCCAGCTCAAATGAAGACCAGCTCCTTGACTATCTCCATTTTAAAATGTTCACATTTTCCTTGACAGTGCCATCTTTAGAGACATGTACACCAAATTGAGGGCACCTACTAACCTAATGCCTATATTATTTGAAGATTATATTGTTTTGTTTTGTTCACCTGTTTTAAGCTTGAAAGAGTCATTTTGGTTCTATACAAGGTGAGGAAGTCATAAATAATGACCTCTCAAATGGTCATATCCTGGGCCAAAATTTTTGCTCCAGTCCAACACTTGGAAAAATGTGCCCATCTTTTTTTACCCCATACTGACACTTCTCCCTGTTGAGCTTGATGCCCAACAACATTACATCTCTGCAACAGCTTGCGTAGACGAGTATTGCATTCTGCTTTTTCACCATCCCGGACAATAATATCATCAGCAACTCAGCGTACTCCATTGAGTCCCTCAAGTGTCTGAAACAGTCTCTTCTGGAATGTCTTGCTGCTCACCTTTAGTACAAATGGTAACCGCTTCCATCTTTGTCTCCCCCAAGGCGTAGCGAACGTCATTAGTAGACTAGAGTCTTCATCCAAGACACGATGGAGATGACCATCTTTCCGGTTGCAGACTGAGAAAAGACTTGCTTTCGGCAACGCCGGTAGTATGTTTTCAAGTACTGGTAGGGGGTAAGATCAATTTTACCGAAGTATTCATTGTTTGCAAGAGAGGCAAATAGATCTTGCTGGTTAGGCATTAGTTCGGGATCGAATACAGTTATCTTGTTCAGGCGACGAAAATCGATACAAAACTGATTTGAACAATCCGGCTTTCTCACCATCACAATCAGATGCGCATAGGGAGAGTCTGACTGCTCCCCTAACTTCAACATCGACTCAACCTCTTTCCCAATCTCACTCTCTACAGCTTGAGGTATCCTATACGGAGGAGAACAAACAAGTTTGTCACTAGTCAAATGAATCTTGCATTCAGCCACTGAAGTTTTCTTAGGAACATCCGTTAAAACATCTTGATATTCACACAACAATTTCCTGACCTTACCCTGGGATTCCTTACTCAATTTCTCATCAACCTAAACATGAATTACAAACTCCTTCTGTACAGAATATGGCATGTCAGGTAGACCTCTCAAGTACTCCTCGACCTTCTCAATGTTCCTTATGTGCATATAAATACTACATAATCCATAACATGTGAAATGAGCAAACACAAAACACATTGTTCTTAAAGTTTTAAAAAGTTTTTTATTACATGTACATTCAATAACCAACACTATCTTTTTTTTAACAACTTATTTACAATTTTCTTTATAACTATACAGTCATGTAAAATGGGCTAATACAAATACAAATAAATGTTTTGAAAGTTAAAATGACACCTTAATGACAATCAATAACCTACACTTTATTTTTTTTAAACAATTTGTTTACAACTTGTTTTCACAACTACACAGTTCATATACATGTAAAATGGGTGAAAAACAATACACATTGTTTTAAAATGAAAACATGGGATAACCAATCTTCCCTTTTTCCTGAACTTTTTAAAACTTTTTTCTTTCAATTACACAATCCATATACATTAAAAATGGGAAAACATAATGTGACCTTCAATTCTGACATCACACGGTAGCAACTCCTGATAACGAAGTGTTGGGTGTTGCTTAACATAGTCAGAACTGATGGTAGTAACCTGTGAACCTGTATCTAAGATGGCGATACAGGGCTGTTCGCTTACCACTACAGTTGTGCTTGTCACTGGTCCAATAAGCTCACCATATGTTGGTCGCTTTACTGTCTCATGTCTCTTTGGGTAGTTGATATGGCTCTCTGGGCATTGAATGTTTGCCATACCCACAGACTGCCCACTGTCTGTAGGCTTTAGGCGTTTAAAGGACGGGTTGATGACTCTTGCGATCCTTGTTGTTGTGGTGTGGGTCGCTGAGGTGTTGGGTCCTGCTGGAGGCCTGGCTGGGGGCCCTGTTGGCGCCTTCTTGGTTGACGTTGTGGACACGAACGGGAAAAATGTCCTGGTTGGTGGCATGTGTAGCAGACATCATTACCTATTGGAGGAGGTGGCCCCATGACTAGGCTCTCAAGTCTGTCTAATCTTGCTCTTGATCGTTGTTGATCATCGAGGACTTGGTGTAGAAGACTAGATGTTTGTTCTTGAAATGCATGCATTTCCTTCAGAGTTTTGGTTATTTCGTCCAACTGATTATTATGAGTGACAGGAGTAGGCCTCACGTCCATTCTGTAGGAGTTGGCCCCTTTCCGCTGCTTCTGTTCCTCATCTGTAACCTTCAGTTCCCGCCTGAGCTCTCGAAAAGACATATCCCTGGGCCTCATCGGGGCCAAAGGACTTTTCACGTCTTGGTCGCGGAGCCCATACATAAATTGGATAGTCAGCATTTCATCTCTAGCTTTAGCCTCCGCTATTGCTGAACCAGCACCCTTCTCCTTGGCCACTCTAAGTTTGGCCTCCAGGGCGATGGCATAATCCGATGGTGACTCGTTGGGATGTTGCATCCTAGCGTAGAATGCCGCCATTGGAGATGCTGTCCACTCTCTCTCCCCATACTCTTCGAGTAGCTCGCCGAACGCGGCCTCTGGGGTGCAGCTGGATGGTTCTCCCAACTCTAGATTTAATAACAGATCTCGTGCCCTGCCCCCAGTGTGCCTAACAATTTCGTTAAACTCAGCACGAAGTGGCATTGATCCCTTAGAATCTATCACATATCTCATATCCCGTACCCAATCCTCCACCTTTACACCCCCTCTACCTGAAAAAGGTCCCAACAGTCTTTATTTGATGCGATGTTACGCATCTCAGAGTATAGTTTCAGGGTTGCTGGGTATGTTCAGGCATCGGGTCCATACCAGCGATTTGAAGGGGTGTCGCCATAGGCCTACCGAGGCTCCATGGTGGGGGCGTTTCAAGGGGGGTCGCTCCATCTGCTCCAGCAGGGCGATGTTGCCCGCTGACCGGAGTCTTGACGTCACCGGGTACAGGGGTCTCCATCTCGCGCTGCACACCTCGATGATGCCGTGTTGGTTTTCTTTGATTTGTTGAAAGACTAATGTCAGTATTAGTTGCTATTGTTTTTTTTTTTTTTTACTATTTTCGCTTAATATGTTAAGGTAAGCTAGGATCCAAGTTCTCCTTGTACTTAAGCCTTCCCGGGTTTCGGCACCAAAATTATGTGACCTCCTATTTGTGTACAGGACGTGTTTGAAATATAATTATAACAACTGAAATTAACTAATTGATTACAAGGTTCTACGAGAAGGCGGTAATAAAGGGAGAGTCTGGAATCTTTTGCTTTTACCTTTCAACTGAACAAAAAGTTCTTTTATTAACTATTCCAAAGCTAGCACAAGACTCAAAAGTATATGAGTACAAAACAATGATAAATACAGTACGATCAAAGAAAACCAACACAGCATTGAGGTAGACTACTCTGCATCTGTATGGTCCTAAACAAAAATAAAACAAAGTCATGAGCATAAAAGAAACAACAGTCGTAAACGAAGCAGACTCTAGCAATCGTTAACATACAGTATATCCTACAGGTATCGACTATCATGCTATCTGTATTCGCAATCAAACTATGAGGGGGTTTTATACAAGTCAAAGTACCTGCAATGCATGCCTATTCATTTACACAAACAACAAACTGGATAAGAATACAAATGTATACTATTACTGGTCATCTTGATATGAGAATAAATGTGACCTGTACGATACATTTCTTACATTTAAGATACCACCGCTACCGCCAACATAATATATAACAAATATCTTATGGCGAGAGTCAAACAAAAATGTGTGATATGTAACCAAATTCTACATACAACCAAAGAAAAATGACTAATCACCTTGAATATGGAACTGCAACAGTCAGGGTCCTGTTTTTGAAGCTTACAGAGTAGGCGTGAAACCAGTAGATTCATCACCTATGAACATAACCCAAACAAGAGCATGTACCATCATAATGATTCGGATGGATTGACAAATCATACAAGAATACAAAACAAAAATACACAAGATATATCAATAAACTCAAATGACTCTACAATACATATTCATGAGAGACGCCCAACCTTTATCAATATAGCCTCAGCCTCATGATATATAACCTAATGACATAAACCTATATAACTATACTTCAAAGTGATTCATCCCAATAACAGTCAACTTTACCACCATCAGTTCAGTACATCAAATCTCCACTAACATCACATAACTATATAACGGCATCCAACATATATGTCACCAAACATACATACAATACATAATTACAACTCAACAAAATGATTAAAATGCTGGCAAGTGGGGTGTTCAGCAAATCACCATCTCACAATAACAAACACGTTGTCTTAAAGCTAAACAGATTCAATAACCAACCTTTTTTTCAACTTGGAGTGTTTATAACAACTAAACAGTCAAAAGACATGTAAAATGGGCAGATACAAAACAAATAGTTAAAACAAAATACTTCATTACATTCAATAACCAACACTATCCTTGTGTATCCTTCGATCTGTAGCATTTGAGCTACTCACGAGTCCCTATCTCACTACTGGTTCTCACCAGCACCCGATAGAGTGGGAGTATCCAAATCCATGGGGGTCACCTGGCCTGAGGTCGGAGATGTCTCCAACAGCGCAGATAAGCCGGAGATGTGTGAAATATCTGCGAGGTCACGCTCACAGCTTGTGGAGAGCACTTGGTGAGAACCGCTGATGGCTGTGAACATGCTCTGCTGCTGCCTGGGGTGGTGGTGCTGTTGCTGCTGGTAGTACGGGTACTGATGTCGCTGCAGAGGGTACTTCTGTTCCTGCAGTTGGGGTAAATGCAATTGCTGAGAGAACTGCGATGGACCCGTAGGAGGAGATGGCATCTGATTGGTCATGCTGGCTTGGTATCTATCCATGTACCCGCAATCCTGTGACTGTCATGACGACGCAGGTGGTGGCCTGGTGCTCTTCCACAGTTCGGGGGCCGACTGCCACCGCACGACAGACTTGGAAGAGGACGAGAAGGTGGGTGCAGAGCTGGGTTGGAAGGATCCTGCTTGCGAGAAAGATGGCGGCATGACTTATGGAGGCTCTTCCACGTCGTTATCCTGCATGGAAACTTCCAGTATTCGGCTGATGGCTTTGCGCGCCTTTTTGAATTTCCGTCTGGACAAGTTGACAAGTATCCTCTTGACGTAAGTCCCAAAGACCTCTGCTGGTGTCTGTGGTCGCATTGCCTGCTGTAACTGGATCATCTGCTGGCCAGACTCCTGCAGCCGCTTCTGCAATGTGGCCATGAGTGCGTCCTCCGATTTCGCACCCTTTCTTTTTCTGCCGACTTGCTGAGCATTTTGAGGACCTCCTCTCCTTCCGCCTCTGTGCCGATCATGGCGCACTCAGCCTCAGCAGCTGAGAGATTGCCACTGTGTGCATGTATTGTATCCTTCACCTGCAAGTACAAATAATACAGATCATGAATGCAGAAATGCTAATGCAAAAATTAATACAAATTTATGTTCAGATACATTGGACCCAGACACATTTACACTGTAGATACAGTACATTGAACCATCTGATAATAATGACACATATTTATATAAAAAATTACTAAAAAGTACAAAAAGTCTAACAATATGTAGCTGCTAACTGCTAACTGGCTTTGGTCTGCAGTATGTAATCTTCATGAAGAAGAACGTTATCAAGCTTCAACCCTATAAGGGATTAAATCTCAGATAAATACTTTTAAGAAATCTGTAAATGGGATGGCAAGAACAGACCACAATGGCGAAAAGACCAATTAAGGGCCCAAAGTTATTTGAAGTTAATGGACCGTTTCAAAGCCTTAATAGCGCAAGTTCACATAAGTTACAGAGTTGAGCAACATCAAAGTGGGTACACGGGACTTGTCTGGTAATATGTGGCTTCAGTGGTTCAATGTAAATGTTGTTCACTGTCTACTCGTGACAGTTTGAGTGCTATACTTGCGTCTTTCGCAAAGTCTGAACACATTCTCTTAATCTTCTTTGAGCTGAGTAACTCCCAGCTGGGGGCATTTCACACTACATGTAACACTAAATTCATCATTTTTTCCCCGACTTCAATGCATTCTCAAAGGAGGCACCTCTCGTTCCTCCTCGCTACTGCTATTTTCAATCTCTGACTCGTTCTTCAACTTTGACTTTTAACTAGTGCTGTCCATTTCCTCCTCTTCCTACTCGCTAGTCAGGATACTGATCTCCGCTCCTTCCCTTTCCCTTTTCTCTTCCTCCATTCGCTTTGCCACCCGTTTGGCCATCTCCCTTCTCTCTCAAAAGTCTAACAATATGTAGCTGTATACTTACACTGCTAACTGGCTCTGGTCTGTGGTATGTAATCATTTGGAGGAAGTGCACCATTCTCATCCCCTTGTTCGTGGTTCTTGAAAATGGAGGACGGTATTTCGAATGTTATCATGTAAATGAACGCAATTCTTTCGCAAAGTCAGAGCGCATTCTCTTAATCTTCTTTTGAAAAAGGTGTTGAATTCTTTATGGGCTGGGTCTTTTCTGTAGTACTATGGAAATTGCAACGCTACCCCTGCCTTCCCCTGCATTTGGCAGTAGGTCAGGTTCATGTTATACAAGCAACTACAGGCTGGTTTACTTGTACAGTGTCGCTCTCCATATGCACAAGATAATTTTCGTTTATACTGTTCTTTTGCTGTTGTCTGACGGTCTCGCTCTTCGGCCCTTGTCAAAGATGTTATGTCATTGATCAAGATATTTACATATCAAATTATCACCATAGTATATATTCAATTTTTTTTTAAATATTTACATTTCTTTCTGAATGATTGTGCATGTTAAGGACTAACATTGTGAAATGGCACACCAGCTTATAGTGGAATAATAATCAAAAGAGAAACTTAGGAAAATTGATTGCTTACGGTTTAGTTAAACAGCATGGGCAAAGGAAGAAGACATTGTCACTCACTTCCTCCTTTCCTGCACAGCGTCCAAGGTGGACCCAGTGCTGGCAGGTTTCACACTCTGCCCACATGATGTTAGTGTTAATATTATCATTCTCTGAGTCTGTAGGAGGATCGTCGAGGTTGCCCTGACAACATTTCTCGTCATTCCCAGTATCCTGGGCATTGGTGTGATCGCGTGTAGGTCTTTCAACGGATGTTTGTGCGGATGCTGAACGGAAAATTGTCAAAAAAATTCCATTCTCTGTTAGGGCAACTCCGCCAGCTTCATATTCGGGTGCAGCACATCGCTTCCTCTGGTTTTTTTTGTTGTCGGAGGGGATGGTTCTTTGCTGGCTAAGAGAGCTTCCACATTGCGGCTAGATGGTCGAGGTGCTTGGTGACCTTCACAGTTTGTCACCGTACTAGGTCTTGTCATTCTTACGACATCTATAGCCTCTGGATTGAAGGGGCATACTCCCGACTTTCTGAAGGTTCCCTCCAGATTACCCCTTCTCATTGATTGGAAGTATGAATGGCTTATGAGCCTGCACAGGTCATATCTTATAATTGACCATCCTGGATGATCAGCTAGAAAGTCTGTGCATTGTCGGTTGAAATGAGCAGCTGTCGGGGGTGTCTCAGGGATTACAGTTTCCGCAGAACTCTCTTCTTCCATCTGGATTGCTGGAAGAGGTGCACACAACCAAATTTGTATAAAGTTGATACGTTTTTGTAATTAGCTGCGTGAAGGCCAAATCTCTAAAAGCTGCCTCCAGACTACCCCTTCTCATTGATTAGAGGTGTGAAGCTAATGAGCCCGCACAGATCATATCTCGTTACTGATTGTCCTGGATGATCAGCTAGAAAGTCTGTGCACTGTGGGTTGAATTGAGCCTTTTTTGGGCCAAAGCACTGACATCCAGAGGCTGGAGTATGTGATTTGTATGGGGTGGCAGAAGGAAAAGGTTTCTCTATGAGGGGGACGGTGATATGGCTCTTATGGCCATCATAGAGGAGTAGTACTCTCCACTCTGGGCTTCGATCTGGCAGGGATGGAATAAAGTGTTTGCTGAGGAAATCCCCGAACACTGCAATGTTACGCCATCAGCTGTCTGTCATTTTGAAGCGGCTTCCTGGTAGACATCCTTCCGATAGCTATGTTGAGAAGTTCTTCCCCTTGAAGATAAGGTAGGGTGGTAAGGAGGTGCCTTGAGCAGATCCACTGCCCAGGAGGGTGGTTGTGGCTGAGCGACAAGAAACGATAGAAGGTGACCTCTTTCTGACACTCAACACCCTCAATGGCGTATGCTCTTGATTAAAACTGGTTTCATCCATCTTCACATGCACAAGATAATTCCGCAATTTACGCTGAAGGCTGGAGACGATGACCAATGGGGCTCGCAGAAACTCGGTGCAGTGGAGTTCATTGTTATGAAACTGGAAAGGCAGCCATTTTCCAACCAGATTTTCTCCAATGATGTTGTCCATCTGTCGCCTCATGGATTTCTAAGTCCGCATTAGAGATGGGATAGACGAGGACAATGGCCACTACATGTAGGATGTTGGCATATCTCGTCTGCAGCTGCTTCTTGGTAAGCATTTGCTTCCAGAAGTGATTGTAGCTGAGATCTTTGAGATGCTGATGCTGAGATACAAACAACTTCATGGCTTACCACTCCCTCTTCGCTTTCTCCAAGCAAAATTGGGACAGCAAGACAGCCTTGAAGAGTCTGCGTGTCACTCCCCCTTTTTCTTTGACACAAAGGAAAACCTTTTCTATAACTGTAGAAGGAGGATTTCTTCGAACAATTCTTTGAACCATTTTGGAGGATGCTACATCAGATTTGTTCTTTGCCGTAGTACGTCTCGATGTTGCCTTGTTTAAGTATTTCTGATTTCCTCTTTGTTGGCTGGGGCACTCGGAACTATTTCATCACCTCATATCTTGTCTCTGCTCATCTCTGCTAGATAAGCATCCCAGTCTCTGTTCACTAGCCATTCTTCCATCAGACTTCCCCTAAGGTACTCTGTAACCTGCTCTCCTGAT